TGGCTGTAATACGGAAGTTATTGATTCTCATGAGTTCGTATTTATTATCACTCTTCAAAGGGGCCTCTCTCCCCTGTCCTTAAACCCCGAATTTTCCACAACCATGTGAAGGGTGACATGAGACAAAGCGTTTGTCACTCCTAGCTCCAGTTTCCCCTTTCTGTGGTTGGACGACTCCAAGACATTTTTCAATTATGCCAAACAGCCAGCCACAAACGTCGTCTACAGTAGGGAAGTCACGGTTCCCTGATTTCCGGACAACTCCATGTAACCTAGGCCATGATCATTGAGAAGCAGGTACGTAAATTTACAAGTTACTTGTGCAATTTAGAGCTAACACCCTACCCTGGTGCCAGTGTCAGCCATCGGAGGCCGGCTTGTGCAGAGCAGACTTCATGAGGGTAGGCTTTCTGTCACCAACTTCGAGCCCTGTACTCTAGACTCACGTGACAGGCCGAATCAATTCCCCAAAGCCACATGATTCTGGTCTGGGGCAAGTTCTCCGCTCATTGCGACAAATCGAAATGCTTGACACCATTAATTAATCTGAACCAACCCGCCACATGCGTCGACGAATCCCAGAACGAACAAGCCTCGTTATTCAGGCAGCAGCGTCAATGATTGAATAATCCACTAGGTTGATTAAACTGAGCTCAGGATTGTGGTCAGAACGGCTGAGCTACGGAAAGCGCTTGAGCTATGGCTCCGGGTGGCCGGCAAGTTTCTCCAAACATTGAGACGTCTGTATTGAACGCGGGGTGCCAAGTTCAACGCTCAAACTGGCTAGAAGCTAGGAGTGCACGTTCCCAATATGCAAGTAACTCCCTTTCCGTCCAAGTGTGCTCCAAACAATCTTGCACAACCCAGAGGTCAGACTTCCTGGATACCTACGATAGTGGTACTTTGGAAGTCATTGCCACAGCTCCCCAGCCTTCTGGCGACCAGCTCTCAGAGTTTCGTGCCTCGATGGAGCAGACTTGTGCAGCACGGGACAAACCGTTCCCAGCGGCAACTCGGGTAGTGGAGAACGGCTCCAACCAACACGCGTGCCGCAGTGTTGCCATTTCGCGGCTGATGGCCGTGGCGCGTGAGTCGGGGGGTGGGGTGGCAATCACAACCACAACCATGACAAGGAGCAGGAGGAGGAGGAGGAGGAGGAGAAGGAGGAGGAGGAGGAGGAGGAGGAGAGGGGGAGGGCCCCTAAACCCAAAGTACAACATGACCGGAAGCAAAAGTACAGGTTCAAGCTGGTTTTTGCCTCTCATCGCAATTGCGTTTGGAGGTTAGCTCCCATGACAAGAAGTCTCTCAGCATGCAACATAGCGGGGTAAACCTGCTAAAAATGCAACCGTGGATGATAGCAGGATCTGCAAGGCACAAGCTTGGCGAGTTGTTGTCTCACAACATGTCAGGGATTCTATATTTATGCAAGTTACTTTCTTCCATTTAAAATACAGATCCTCCCAGAAAAGAACCATGATTGGGGCCTGAGCTTGTTTTTCTTCTGGTGGCGCTTGATGGGTTGGGTCTGGACACCAACTGGCCTCCGGCCGTCAAACTCAGCCCCGGCTGAAAGCGGCTGCGTTTTATTACCCTTGTATAATTTATAGGTTGGCTAAAGGGGAAGCCAAAAGGAAAGACACCAGTTTGACGGTCCCTCTGTCTCGAAACACCTATCCATATTGGTTGGGGGTTAGTTTGTGGTTAACAAGCCTTGATAAGGAGACACCTCACGATCCTACCCAAACCTAATTGGATATGTGACAGACTATGGAACCTCTCCAAAAGGCTTGGTTTTTGAAATCACCGGATGGTTTGGTCTTTCAGAGAGAAAACCCCCCATATCCCAATCCCAAGGAGTTGAAACAAACGGAAAGGACACCCTCTTGCGGACTCAGCCACACTCGTCCGCATGGACTCCCTTTTCCAAGGGTCAACATGATCTCAAAAGGGGCCCCTTTTGGCTCAAAGCCCTTGAGTTTGCCGCCCCAGATTTGCCCAAAAAGGACAATCAAGCGCTCCTTTTGGAGGACAGGACAGATGCGTGCTCAAAGTCCCAAACACCCAGATCCCGTTTTCCCATCGGTCAATTTGCACAATGTTCCACTTCTCACTCTCCGCCTCCAACGACCCTGCCCATTTTTGCGACATGGGTACTCCCCTGCACATTGACATGAAACCCAAGGAGGTGCATTTCCCAAAAAGAGCTTCCTTGAAGAATGCATATTTTTGGGATCCATGTGAATGAGCACCCAGACTTTGATCAGAATCCGATCTATGGCTTCAGGATTGGCTTCTGGGAGAAAGCTTATGCGGGATCCCTCCTGTTTGTCTCTCCTCAATAAGAAAGAGTGCAAACCAGCAAGGTCTCCCAAAGAACAAGACCCACAACGTCCAGGTCTCCCCTCCCCCTCCCCCCCCCCCCCCCTCGCATCCAAGTCGCCCCTTGGTGGGGCCCAGCAGCTCCTTCCGTAAGGCCTCCTGGTGGAAGGACGGGAGCCTGGCGTCGACTGGTTCAACTCCGTTGGGTTCAAGCCCCAAGGGTCGCGTCCTGGGGTACTGCAAAAGCCCGTTTAAGCCCAGCCATTCTCAAAGGGTACCAAGAGACTCAAGAGACTCTCCCAACCAACGGAAGACACCATCTTCGGAGCCCAAATCCAGGGGCTTTGAAAGGCTGAGGGGTGATTGGGTTGGATTTCGAGGGGCGCGAAGAGGAGGCAAGCGAACCATGTGAGGGGGTTGAACAACAACCGTTCTCACTAGAAACTGGTGGAAACATGGGATGTCTTGAGCTTTTCGGGTCACCACCGTTTTTTTTGGGGTTTGTCTGAAATGTGAAACAACGACATGTTGCAAGGTGCAGTTTGCTTCCCCTGGGTCCTCCCATTCCCGGACGGCTTTCCAACTCACTCTCGTCGGCATTAAATGTTTGCACCCCTCCTCTAAACACAGGTCCCAAACTTGTCTCTGTTGACGGCATGTTCGCAAAGCATCAGCACTCAAAGCAGTACATGTAAGTTACATTTCCGCACGTCGCCCTCATTTTCGGCGATTGAGGGGGCGGTAAAGGTTTGGGTAAGCAAATTAAGAGTGAGGACAGTCAAGTATGGCATTGCTGTTCGCGCATGGGCTACAGTCTTTCAGTTTCAATTGGTCGGACAATTTTGTGCGGCTGGACTTGAGCAGACGAGGACGCCAAGACACAAACGAGATTGCTGCTCACTTAGCTGGTGCCAACAGAAGCCTCCTAGTTTGCTCGCTGGCGCAAGCGATTTGCAGGATCGCCAGTCGCAAGCGACTTTAACGTCTCCCTGACTTGTCCAACGACTGGCCCCCGGCTTCTGCGTTGGAAAGCAAAACTAGAACATCGAATCTCAACAGAATGACAATTCAGCAATGACATGTAATGATGTGCGCATGAAGGCTTCATACACCCCTCCGTTATGTGGCGAAGAACCAACACTTCATGGAACGTGCTGACGTATGGACGTGTCAACCGCCTTGGCTGAGTCACCCATCGCTGCCCCCTCGCTCACTTACCAGGCAAGCGAGAACTCAGTACTGCCTTTTCCGCTTCCTCAAAGCACCAATGACTCTCTCGCACGCACATTCATGCGTCTGACACGCAACGAGTAAGGCAATCGATAAGGCCCGAAGTTCCCCTGGCGCAAAAGCGCCCAACTTGGGGTTGATAGACCATGGTGCAAAACGTGGTCGTGTAAAGCATGCGTATTTCCTGCTCTTGTATCCCCTCTTACTACAAGGCTGAGCCTTGCTTCCTCACCGCCCGAGCTTCTGGAAAAACTGCTCAGGCCGACGCCGAAGTGGCTCCGCAGCGGAGGACTCCAAAGGACATGCAAACATCACCACCGCAGCCCTGTTAGTCAGTCGAAAATCATGGCCCCGAGCGGTGTCCATTTCCTAGCGGCAACTTTTGGTAAGGGCCGATGGTAAATTTAAATATTGACCGCTCTTATAAATGAAATATCGATATGTCCAATCTTTCTGGGTTGGTATGATTGCAAGGAACCCTCTGTTTGAGTTGCAAACCCTTAGCAGGTTGCTAAAAGTCCTAGAAACTGCATATCCCTTCAAATAGGGTCTTTTACAGCTTCATTGGTACGTAAATCCCACAACAGTGAGATTGAGAGCACGGCTAGACACTTCAGGGAAGAATGTGGGAAGAACCATTATGCTACGCGTTGTTTGTTATTTCTTTTGGTGGTTGGTTGCGTTTTTTTTGTTCTTTTGTGTGAGAACGGCGGGGCTGCATTGTGTTGCACCCACGAAGCTTGCCCAAAATCTGCTTGCTTTTGTGTTGTTTGTTGCGGTTGGTTGTGATGTTGTTTTTCTTTGTTTTTTCTCCGAGAACAGTGGGGCTGCACAAAGCCACTGGTTTTCTGCGGGAGCGGTAAGCTGGAAAAAAAGTGGTTTGTGTGGGATGACCAGGGTGGCTGAAAGAAAACTTAGTCCAGCCAAGGCATGGAAGCATTTGGATTGAAGCTCGTTGTGTTTCCCAGCTTTGCCCAGTCGGTACAGGCAGGTTAAAACTCAAGACACCAAGGCTTGCAACCGCAGGTTTGCCCTACAGTATCTGGGGGGCATGTCTCAGAACTTGTATTCAGCGATCATTTGCACCGAGTTGGGTAGGCTACTGCTGGGTATGTGTTTCTCAGCTTCTCTTTGTTTTGTTTGGCTTTTATTGGGGCTCTTCCTAGCCTTTTCTGGCTTGTTTTTCTAGCTTTGTCTAGAGGGCTGCTATTTAAAGAGGTACCAAATCTTACGGTAATTACGGTTTGGAGCAAGTTCAGTTTCATTTCATGGGAGAACATCCCATAAACTAAGGATCCCTTTGCCAATGAGACACAGATCCAGGCTCCAAAGGCCATGTTTGGCACAACATCATACACCAACATTTGCATGGAAATGAGACAAACAAAGTGCCACAGATCCATTCCACTGCCATTGGAGTGGACACTTAAAAGACTTCAATGGGTTAGCGTCAAACAGATTCCAGCTGGCTGACATGACAATACTGTGTGTTGGTCTTCTACAACCCATTTCTCCCGTATCGGTTAGGTACGTCTTCCCACTGCTGCCCTCTGGGCCTCAGGAATCTAGGCAAATGATGATAATCACGCAGTGAACATAATACATCCCTAAATAAAGCCCTTCAGGAATTTGCTCGGGGCCACTGAGGCTGTTATGATTTGGGCAGGTTCACTGCCCCGCCCTCCCAACAAAAAAAGAAGAAAACACAAATGGCAGTTTTTTCTGTTTGGCCTTCCTTTGAACCCAGGCAAAAAGCGTACCCGCAAAGAAACATATACGTGCACAAGTAGCCTTGGAGCCCTCCGTGACAGAAGAAAATCCGGGACCTCCCATGCGTCGCATTCGGAGCAGCTGGCAAGCTGACCAGTCCGCGCTAGCGCGCAAGACCTTCCGAGAGGAATCGCACATTTCCGAACCAAACCAATGCAAAAGCGTCGTTTCTGTTGTGCCAGTCGAACCTCTCTAGATTTCCGAAAAGCTATTTCAGTCCAACAAGTTTCCCAAACCTTGTTTCAGTCCAACGAGCAAAACGGGGAGGTTGCCAAGGCAGCCTTTTGCGGCTTGGCTCCTCGCCGATCTCTTTACGACACATGCGACAGCTGCGACTCCGCGGCCGGATCCGCCGGCGTCGGCACTGGGTCCCAGCAAGCGCCGGGGATCCCCGAGCTCCTCGTGTCGCAGCACCTCAGACCCGAGCGGCGCCAAACTGCCCTCAAAAAATGGGTCATTGCCTCAAATGTTTTGGGTGAATCACACTTCTGGGTAGTTTGAGTGTCCAGGAAGATCCAGAGTTCTAGATCTAGCTTTTTCATCCACAACATGGGAAACTGGCTACAATGTGTCTAGCCTTGCGCAAGAGAGCCCCAAATCTCTATTGACCCGAATCGATTTTGACTCTGACGGCTCAACTGAAGATCCCGCCCCAAGCCAAAGAAAGCTAAGTCCGGGCTACCTATACTTCGCGCCTTCAACGTCACCCCTCGAAGAGGACACTCGTCTAAAAGTGGCCCAAAGACCGACTTTTGAAACAGGCTTCAAAAGGGGATATAGGGACGCTGTCGAACCTTGATGATTCTTGGGGCGGTAATAAGCACTAATAGAAAACTCGGAAAAGGCAAACTCACGTGAAGAGCTGACTTCATCAAATGAGACTCGGCAACAACGTGCCCCTCTTGACCACGGTGATTCCATGGTGATGCTTGGGCCACTGGCTAGCCAGTAGTACACAAGTCTTTCCAGCAAATGTGTGTCTGTGTGTGTGCGTGTGGGTGTGTCAGTTTCTCAACATCAGAGGCCCCTGTAGACTTTTGCAAGTTGGCCTCCGCCTAAAACTATCCCCAAGAAAGCGTTTACGCCCAAATGAACAGTTCCTTTTGTTTCCCTTTAAAACCACGTGGCAATAACTTTGCTGTTGTCACCCCACCCTTCGGTCAAAATATGCCAAATACTTAGAGTGTAAAAGCCCCCACCCAATCCATCCCCACATCACCAACTACGAAAAGCTGCACGCTGCAACTGACGTGAACGTTGCCCGCCACCCCACCCCACCCGCTTTCCAGGCGAATGTGCGGATTAACGCACAGCCCCATTGCAGAAGCAACAGCGATGAAGTAATGAAGCAGCCAAGTCCAGCCAAGCTGCTCTGTGCAACACGCTCCCAAAACGGGCGAAATGGCAGTAAGGATCAGCACCACTCGCGTCCACCACCGCAATGTGGGGTCGCCTGATGCAATTTGCGACTTGGACATGGCAGCATCCTTCTGACCCAAAATGGTCCTATGGCTGGTCAAGAGGGCTAAGCTTTTGATATCCCGCCCAATCACAAAATCATGTCCAATGGCAAAGTGTTGAGCCTTGCTTCTTCGGTATGTTGGACCTTGTTCCGCGGCCCTTCGCCTACCTTTTTCAAGGCCAAGCAGCAAGTCACGTCGCTCGTGTGGTGGCGGAACCAGAAGCCGACAACAAGGAGCACGACAGTCGGTATACACAGGCAACTGTTTACCTCAGCTTCGCTGCATGCCTTCCCACCGAAGTACAGGCATGCTTGTCACAGGCAAACAGTTACCCAAGCAGAATGCCAGCGCTTGACAATAAAGGTGCACACGTATCCGGCGTCAAATCGTTGTGCAATGCACGGAAAGGTGAGCAACCAAGCACGCACTAGCACAACGTATCATGATATTCTCAGGGATCAAGGATGCATCTCAGCGGCATGCTGTGCGCAAGCGGACAACTTTTCCTGGAAAGGGGCGAGCGAAACACATGAAGACTTACACTGGGCCAAGTCATGCTCCAAAGGCTTCCTGCCTGCAAGCATCATCCACAAATGTGTATATATATATATATACATTATAAATATAGAATACATCGACACAGACACACACGCACAAAACCAAAATTTCAGGCAGTCAATTTCTGGAGACAAACACCAACAACTTTCTGAATACT